CCTAAAATATAAAAATGAGATTTAAACTAATTTTGTAAGTAGACTATTTATCAGCCAAAATAATCATGCATAGATAATAGTTAACTTAATCACATCTGATTGTAGCAGAAGTGTCCAGGATGCAAACCTTGTTATAACACTATTATTGGTTAATAACTGTTCAGAGTTGAAGATACCAAAAGAGCAACAATAACAGTAAATTTTTGATAACTAGTTTATTTTAATAGCCAATCAGATGGCACACACTTGCTATCTTGGGAAGCTGAGGCAGGAGGATACTGAGTTCAAGGATATCCTGTACTACATAGTTTGAGGCTAGCCTAGGTTGCATAACAAGACTCTTCTATCTCTCTCCTCCTCCTCCTCCTCCTCCTCCTTCTTCTCTCTCTCTCTCTCTTTCTCTCTCTCTCTCTCTCCCTTTCTCTGAGTGTGTGACAGTGATTGTTTCTATATTAATATAAAGATATGCAGATATAAAGATTACATATATAAAGATTTATATGTAAAGATTCTTTTCTGCAGTGGGTTTCCTGACTCAAAATGGGTTTGTATATGTTAAGGTCACTTACTACTCAGTTTGTTTCTGCTTTGACACATGAAGCTTAATTTGACTGAAAAGTTACATAATATTAAGAATTTCTATATGGAACATGAGAATAGTTACACAACCTAAGATAGAACTATGTCAATATAATCTGAAGTGGAATCTGCTAAGATGGTACTATAATTGGTGGTAGTGAAAATGTTTATGAGAAGAAATAATGATTAGTTGGACAAACAGACAAAAACTTGCCATAAGAATGCACACTCTATTTTCTCATTGTTATAATTCATCAGTGTGCTTTTTGTGGAAAAATCATTAAATTTGTCATTGAATTTACCATAGCTTTGGATGTCAGATTGTGCTATACACTTGATCATTCTTAATAAACTTAGCCTAAAACATCAGGACAGGACTGTAATTATATGTCAACTTATACTGTGCTAAATAAAGTTATTTCAATGACTACTAATGGTGCTTGACTCAAAAGGACTATCAAGTTGTTTTATGTACATCCCATGTCAGAATGAAATCAAGAAATGAGATCAGCATTGCCCAAGTTAATATGCTAGCACAAACTGATCAGCTCATTGGCTCTGGAATTAATAAATAAAGTAAATGTTTATGATTTCTTGAGGCAACATAATTATAGCTCTGATGAGCTGAGCTCTTGGCATCAGGATTGGGTGTGATGGTGGCACAGAGTGTGCACCATGGCATCAATAACATGTTTTTTTTGTGTGTGTGCAAAGCTGAGGTAAGACTTTTGGTTGATGACAGAGTTACTAGGATTCATAGAAATAACAATACCTTGTAATTTTGTAGAATCTAGTTTCCAAAAGAATATAAAATGGATTTATACTTTTATTAAAACTGCTTATTATATGGGAGTCTGTTGATAGATATGTGGGCAGAAAGCCATTACCTGGGGCTAAAACAATAGCAGTTAAAGAGGCTGTGTTCACCTCTTTTAGGAAAGATGTTGTCATGCTGTGTGACTGCACCTCACCAATATGTTCTGATCATTGTTCTCAGAGCTGCTGCTGCTGCTGCTGCTGCTGCTGCTGCTGCTGCTGCTGCTGCTGCTGCTGCTGCT